AATGTAGCCCATGAAAAGGCTCAGAGGATGCTAAGACTTTCTTCCAAAGACCAATGGGATGGGGCAAGGAGAAGCTGGAAGAGGTACCATCCGCAGACTGAGGACAGCTTTTCAAGTCCCGGAGCCTGGGGGTCCCAGACAGATACAGGAGACGTTCACTGTCATGACGGTGGGATGGTTTCATGGGCGTATACAGTGTCAACCTCCTGGATCACACATTTTCGATATTTCCAGATGACGGCATATAAATCAGGTTCACTGATGCTATTAAGAAGCATCAGTACTGAGCTGGGAGACCTTGGGGAAGTCACGGAGCTTTCCAGCTCTCAGTCGCCCTAACTGCAAAATGGATGTAATAAATACCTACACCTAGGGAGTTCTTGTGAGGAAAGCCAGCCTGGCACTGAGCCCAGTGTCTGGCCAGAAAATATCAGCTCTTGGGACCGGCAGATGGCATCATGGTTACATTGTTGGATTCCCACAGTTGACAGTGGTTCAAGTCCCAGACCAGGTGGCTTAAAACTCAGACTGGGCATGGGTGAGTACATGCCCAAAATCCTGAGAAGAGAATGGAGGAAAAGGGAGTGTGGCCATCCTCCCAGGGGACGTTTCTCACTTTCTGTCTGTCTCTCTGGTGAGCACACATGCTCTATAGCAAAAATCTCTTTAAAAAAAAAAAAAAGGAAAGAAAAAAGAAAATTTCAGCTCCTATAAGTTTAATATACTATTAACAATCTTTTCAAACTTCTTTCTTTCTTTCTTTTTTAAGTTTTCTATAGGGTGTACATGCTTGCTGGAGAGAGACGCTTTCTTTCTTTCTTTCTTTTTTAAGTTTTCCATAGGGTGTACATGCTTGCTGGAGAGAGACAGAATGAGACAGAGAGGAAAAGTGAGGAGTCACCACCCCACACACAGGGAAAGGCCATGCTGTAATCCTCCATTCTCCTCCTGGGATTTGGGGCACATACGCACATGTGCTCAGAGTGTTTTATAAGCCACTGGGTGCGGGACTCGAATCACACAATCAGCCATGTTGGATCCAGCCACCGTACCCTCCATGCCACCTGCTGGTCCTAAAGTTCTCTTTTTTCCTTTTATGAGAATGAGAGCCAGAGATGCAAAGAGGTAAAGAGAGAAAGAAAGGCAAGCATCTCAGACAGGTCTCACACCACAATCCTCCCCAGCCTTCCCAGCCAGCTAGGATCATGCTTGCTCATGCCCAGCACATACAGGTGAACCAGGGACTGGAACCAGTAGTGGGATCCACCATTGTTCTGCCAGCGTGCCGCTGCTCTGCCACCAAGCTGGCCCAGTAATTACTACTACAATAATAACATGAGGCAATAACTTCAGAGGCACGAGATGCATCTGCTCATCCCCTTGTGCCCTCACAACCAGCTGTGAGAAAAACATGCCCTGTTCCTTCAGCTGTGGCCCAGAGTGAGAAAGAAGGTGCCTGCTGACAGTTACACTATGATATTCATAGCAACGATATAAAAATAGTAATACTAATAGTACCATGCAGCAATAGCAATGTCACATGCATGTTACTGTATGTAAGATGCATATATCAGCATTATAACATATGCTACCATAATATTAAAATACCGTAACAAAATAAAGGTAATATAAGAACAATTATTTTTTAAAATTGTTTACTTATTTATTTATTCATTTATTTTAGTTTGACCAGAGAGAGACTCAAAGAGAGAAGGGGGGAAAGTGAGAAAGCGAGCCACCAGGGACAGGACTTGAACCGTGCTCAGCCATGTGGGAATATACAGTGCCTTAACCACCACGCCACCTGCTGGTTCCCAAATAACAATTTTTTTGAGAGAGAGATCTTTGTTATAGGACACATGTGCTTGCAGAGAGACAGAGTGAGATAGACAGAAAGCAAGAAATCACCCCCTGGGGGGGATGGCAACACAATCCCTTCTCTTCTGTTCTCTCAGGATTTGGGGGACACACACACACAGCATGAGTTTTAAATGACCAAATCTGGGACTCGAGCCATGGTCAACCATGTGGAAGTCTAGCACCTTAGCCACTATGCCACCTGTTGGCCCCAATAACAACAATTTTTAAAGACAGGGGAGCATGGCAACTAGCAGGCCAAGTGTGGGCTGTGAACTGAACTGCCAGCCTATGTCAACTAGCACGCACCTGACATTCAGCAAGTGAGTGGGCATCCTTCCTGTCTTGAAAGGTCCCCTAAGAGAGTTAGCAGAGTTTAGTTAAGAGCCAGGTAGGGAGCCAGTCCCATAGTGTAATAATAGTTAAGCACTGGGCATGAGGAGCCAGAGAGCACAT